TAAAAATGTAGAATGGGAAGATTAATTCCGGACGGAAAAAAGAGTAGAGTGGGAAGATTATTTCCGGACGGAGGGAGTAATAATAATAATAATTCTTGATGGGATCTGACTTTAAGAATTCCTGATCTGATCTGATTGGATCTGATCTGATCTGATTCGATCTGATCTGATCTGATTTGGTCTGATATGATCTGATCTGATCTGATTTTAATAAGAATAAGAAAAAATAAGAAAAAATAAGTTGAACGGAACGGGACCTTAGTTGATAACTCTTGGGGTATCCCTCCTACATAGAGGAAGGAGTTGCTAAACATTACATTTAGTGTTAAAAATGTAATTGGTTTAGAGGTAGAGTAATATTGTAATAATAATAATAATATTTATTATTATTATAAAGAGAAAAAATGGGTGAGTGGTGGGGCTACCACCTTCATTGAAAAGGTTAAAAAGGCATTAGCATTTTCTTTTGGTCTTCTAACGGAAGAAGGAAGAAGAGACAGAGGAAAAGAGAGAAAAGAAGAGAGAAAAAGTGGGATAGCAGTCCGGGTTTTTGCTCCGATCGACGATCGAACGAGCTCTGATCGGGATGAAATCGAGCTCATATACACTTCCTCAAAATTTTAACATTCTAAGAATATCAGAATGCCCCTCCATCAGTAAAGAGGGGACATTTGGGGGGGGGGATATTATGAACAAACAAATTTACAGCCGGAACATCGTACATGTCCCAATTAAATTGATGTTACATTTATTATTCTTCTTATATCCCAATGTATGTACTAGTATTTGAATGATGAAATGCATAGATTCACTAGATTCCCAATGCATGTACTAGTATCTCTTAGAAATAAATGATGCTAGAACCATAAAACCCAAGCACTTCCAAAAAATAATTTTTAAAAATAGAACTAGATAAATAGAGATCTAATAAGAGCATTTTCTTTCATGCTTCTCTTTCTATCTATCACACAGGAGAAACAAGATATCAAAGTGCATTTTGCAGCCAAGGAGATTATTTGTTTCTTGATGTAAATGAACTACAAGTGTCAGTTTGATACCTTGCTGATGTTATTGAGTGATAGTTCCTTCATTGAATTTCCAAAAGTTTCCATATATGCTGCAATAGCTTCATAACTGTCAAAGAAGAACGAAAAAGAGCTCATTAAGTTACAAAAACAGCATCGTTTTATCTAAGGAAAAAATACTGCAACAAACTTCAGTAATAGCATGATGACCAAATGTTCAAACATATACGTTTGGCAACCATAATGACCAAATGGGCTTAGAGAAGATTACTAACTAGAAAAAAAAGGCGCATACATATTGGTTCATGTTATATAACTTAACATTCAAGTAAACCAACCTGAATGCATTTGGACAGAGCATTAGCTTGTCTAGTGCAATACAACCATTCACAAGAAAGCCAAGAGAAAAGTCTGTCAATTTGCACAAATTACTCAGATCTATTGCACATAATGCAGGACAAGATTCAGCAACAGCTTTCAATGAACAATCTGTCAATTTCCTGCATCTATGACAAGATATAATATGTATGTGTGTGTGTGTAACATAAATGGATGAGATGATGATTAAAAAAAGAAATTAAACATTTGAAGAATGCCATATTTAGATATGGGAATGACCACCTAAATGCAGTCCTTCAAAGTAAGCTCTCTCATATTACGACCACGTTGAGAAACAAACTCTATAACAAAGTCATCACGAACTGTGTGGATACCGGCAACTGACAACCTCCAAATGCTCAAGTTTTAACAGTGATGGAAGAAGAAGCACTCTATCTATGGCTTGGCAATCATCTAAATATTACTCCTTCAGAACAGACCCCAATGACTCGGACAAGCATTTGATTCCATCAGATGAAAGCAGAGAGCACTGACTGAGATTGATGGATCTCAAAGATGGTGCAGAAGAAACAAGAGCACTTAGCCCAGTGTCTGATAAACGACAAGTACCCTTCACAGGTAGAGTGGTTAGAGCAGACAGACTATTTGGCAAGCGAGCTAATGTAGCTATAAGTGTGAAGTCTGGCAAACAGTGACCACATTGATCGAGTTGTAGCACCAGATTACAATGAGAGAAAATATTTAGACCCATCAAATGACTACACAATCAAATGTGGAAAGTGTACTCTTCACTTATGGTGTTGAACTATACACATATATTGTCACACATTCAAGAGTAGCTATAGTCCTAAATCTAAACTCGGAAGAGGGTGGATGAGGAAAGGGGGCTCGAATTTACATTACTATACACACACACGCGCACACACACACACACACAATGTAAAAATTGCAGCACTTACACTAATATAAGATCACTAAAAATTCTAGTCATAGAAATCAAATTGTATTACATGTGTTAGAGTACTAATAAATAAAGTAATCATATGCTGAGAAGTTGTAACATACAACAAAAACGCAGATTAGGCCGTGACTAGGCGATGTTAGGCACCACTCTGCATTTGAAATTAAATTACCGG